TGGACCATAAACATCTCTCCACTAAACTACTACTGTGGCTTCCTGCCTTGACTCATATTACCCTTGCCCCATCCAGTCAACTCTCCATACCACAACTAGAGGAATGGTTTGGATATGCAAAACTGATCTTGTTGCTCCCTTGATCAAAATTTTTCATTTTCCCCCATCACTGTAAAGTTACAGATCAAATTTTTGGCCAGAAATTGTTTGACTCTTGCCCACCTGACCAGACTTCCCAGCACTATTTACTCCATTCCCCTGTGCTCTAGACACTTCTTCTTTCTATCCTACAAAAGCATCGTTTTCCTTCCTCCCTGGCATCTTCACCCAAGCTGCCTCTTCTTTCTGGAATGCTTTTTCTTTCCCTCCTCTTTTCTCCCTCTCTCCTTTTGCCTGTTTACTGAATTTCCTCTCTTCAAAGATACTCTAGTTTCTAAGATACATCTTTTGTCAATGGCTTTCTAGAAAAATAATACTATGTCATTGAATATACATGTAGCAATTGGAAATCTAAATTGATCTTAAAGATTTTTACTTATAAAATATGTGATTCTTAGGATTAAATTAAATATACTCATAATTAAAACTTAACTGCTTTGCATGTGATTTTATGAAGATTTTAGTTTGCTTTCTTGCTTACTATAATTGAAAGCATACAATTTATAAGAATCCTAATTTCTTAAAATGTCTCTCTCATCTATTAGAATGTTGAGCTCTGGAAAATGGCCATTGACCAAAAAATCTCTAACACATGGTATAAAGTTGAGTCTCCATAAATATGCGTCTAAAGAATGAGCAGGATGAACCAACATATTTAATTCATAATTGCTCAATTTACCATTATATATTGTGTAAATCAGGGTTTGTGTACCCACCGCACACTGCTTTCTATTGTTGCTGTAACAAGTCACAACAAGTGTAATACCTTTTTAAAGGACAAAGTTATTCTCTCACAGTTCTGGAGATCAGAGGTTCAAAATCAGTTGAAGTAAAACCGAAGTGCTGGCAGAGTTGGCGCCCTCTTGAGGTCTAGGGAAAAATTCATCTTCTTCCTTTTTTCCAGTTCTTGTAGCTACTGGTATTCTCGGCTGGTGGCTTCTTCCTCCATCTTCAAAGAGCGTCACTGCAGTCTCTGCTTCTATCACCACTATGCCTTGTCCTCTGACTCTGATTCCTCCTGGTTTTGTCCTCTAAGTATTCTTATGACTATATTTGCACGAACTGAGTAATCCACAACCATCTCCCACATCTCAAGACCTGTAATTTCATCACATCTGCAAAGTCCTTTGACTATATAAAGTGACATCCAACAGCCTGATGCTCAGATTAGGATGTGGACATACATGGGGGGATATTATTTTGTTTACCACCCATCCCTTTGTTGAAAAATATGAATATGGAAGAGTTGGGTCCAACTAGGGAAAAGAAATATAGACTAAGAGATGTCACATGAGAGTCAAGGGACTTGTGTTTTAGACCTGGCATGGCTACTTCCTAGTGGCAAGTCTCTGTGTAAATCTCTTCATCTCTTTAGTCTTCTCTGCAAAATGCCAGACCAAAGCAGGTGACTTGTTACATTCTATGACTATGGGATTCCAGTGATTATTTTCTAGGGTATGCTTTTACTCTGTCCTTACTCATGGCTTCACATGGCCCACATGGCTTCAGGAACACAAAAGCAGCCCAGGAAAAGGTTTCAAGATCTCATATGCTATCACCCTGAAGGACAGAGTAGATTCTTCCTGCTAACAGGATTTTTCTTTTAAGCCCCCTCCTGGTCTCAATTTAGGTAGGAAAGAGGACAGAGAAGCAGACTGTGTATGTAATATAGGAACCCCTCTCCACCTTCATATTTTATTCAAATACCAGCACAGAGTAGCCATGAGATAACAACAAAATCTAAAACTGACTATCCCCCCAAGTTATAACCACTCATTACCTACTCACTTCTTAAAAAATAAAACAGAATAATAGAAGAGCTAAAATTATCATATATGCATGAATAATTACATTCTAGATAACTTAGTCATGTACAACTCTCAACAAAAAAATGTAGTCTTAGATACTGGTAAATTGCACATTCATTTAAATTAATGATTCCAGCTGTATGCAGTAGCTTGTTCCTGTAATCCCAACAACATGGGAGAATTGCTTAAGGATAAGAGTTTAAGACCATCCTGGGAAACATAGTGAGATTGCATCCCTTAAAAAAAATCTTTTAGCTGAGTATGATGGCACACCCCTGTAGTACTAACTGCTCAGGAGGCTGAGGCAGGAGGATCACTTGCACCTGAAGTTCCAAGCTGTGGTAGTGATATGATTATATCACTGCACTCCAGCCTGGGTGACAGGAAAAGACCTCTTTCTAAAAATAAATAGATAGATAGATAGAGTTCCAGAGAAGATTAAGATAGAGGACTTACATTGTAGGTATCTTTCAGCCTACCTTGGTGACTGGCAAAGAGCAAATGGCCAGTGAATGTGAGATGAATTGAATTAAGATCCCACAATCTCTCTTCATAAAGGGTGACTACATATGTACAATGTGTTTAGAGCAGATCAGGTAGATACATTCCTGGGTAAGATTTGACATGTTAAAACATTAAAGCTGTGTGTATGTGTGGGCAGTGGAGGTTATTAGAGTGAACATACCAAAAACTCAGTAACAGAAGTCTTGCAGTATTCCTAGGTTTTCTCATTTTTTCAATACTTCCTCATGGGGCAGTGCCTGTAGCCCAGTGAGTAGGGAATGGGCCATGTACACCCATGGTGGGTTTGAGCATGGCCAGGGCCAGCTAAACAACAAGGACAACTGTAACAAAATAATAGCCAGGCATTGTGGCAGGCACCTGTAGTCCCAGCTACTTGGGAGGCTGAGGCCAGAGAATTGCTTAAGCCCAAGAGTTAGAGGTTGCTGTGAGCTATGACACCACCACACTCTACTGAAGGCAACATAGTGAAACTGTCTCAAAAAAAAAAAAAGGTCCTTGTGTAAGAGGAAAAACAGCCTCAACTTCTCCCTCCTTAACTGTATAAGTTACTTAATGATCTAAGTAGTTATTAGTCACATTACCCAGTCTTCCCCTGGTTCCAGCACCACAAAGGCCATCACGATGCTGGGCTGAAACAAAACAATGCCAGATATACAGCTTGGAAAAGTAGCAAACACTGAATCCATCAGCTAGAGGTTAGGGGGAGCGGATGATGTATAGCTAAAGATGGTAACTTTGGGGGAAGATGTAAGAACTCTGTGAAACCCTCTCAAAGGAAAGGAGACTTTGAGAATGATCTCCCTGCCATCCTGGGATTCTGAATCTTGGTAATAAAGGGCAAGTTTAACCCACACCAAGTGTTTGGTTCATACTACTGGTTCTGGTGTCCTTGTTACACTTGTAAGGCTGAGAGACAGCAAAATTTGATCTAGATAAAAAGCTAGCAAAAAAAAAGTGTGAAGGTGAGGCTAATTAAACAGAGACAAGAGTGTCCACAGAAGCAATCAGCGGTTTAGGAGATCTAATTAGGGTAGGGCTAATCTCCAGATAAGAAACTGATGGAGGGAAGCAGCCGGAATTTGGTTTGGTTTTTATTATTCCTAAAGCCCTGGCGCCCTCCAGCGGGAAGATAGAGCAGTCCGGTATCTACAGGGAAACTAAATGTGTTCTCACTTTGGAATCAAAATTATTTCAGTTTCCCGTCATAGGTTTTGGATATTATGTTGTTGTTGTTATTTACTAAGAATTTTTAACCCTTCTCCTTGGAAGTCACATCCTCTTTATCTCTCTAAGTAAATCTTGGAATTCTGGATTATCTCAAGAGTGAGAACAGTTAGACTTAAGATACTTTGTTTCAGTTTAGTCCCAGACTGAAAACATTTCAAATTTCTTAAGTAAATCCTTAAAAGTGTAATTCACACTAGAGAAGTTGACCTGGCAAATAAACTGCAGCTTGAGAAGTAATTGGAAGGGTTTCCACTCATTTCCTTAGCAAATTCCTTAGAATTTACTTCCATTGGTCTGAGAAATACCTGTTAGAGTTCTGATTATAATAATAGTGAAAATAGGGGAGCTGATGGTCTAATATCAGCCCTATATGGTATCATCTGTTCCATCTGCAACTAAGTAAAGAGAGGGTGGGGTGTATGATCAATCTGTTGAAGTGTTTGGGGCTGATGGACAGACAGGTGGCATTTAGTGTCTGTGAAGTCTGCTCACCGATTATACACTGTGTGTAGCTCAGAGGTAGGGGCAACACTCGAACCCAAAAGTTCGGTTATATGAAGATCCTTTGAAAATCCTGACAATCTCAGACACCACGTAAGTGGTCAGCTAATTAAAGAAGGAAAGGCAGAACTTTAATTTGGATACTCAGTAAGGACTCACCATCATCGGACATGAAAAGAGGCCACTATCATTGTTTTTTAAAGGAAAGTGCACAATTTCAGAAATACCCTTGACCAAATGGAATAATTTCAAAGATAAAGTGAGAGTGAGGAATTTACCAAAAAAGAAAAAGAAAACCTAGTTATAACGTTTGGGAATAAGAAAGGAAGAGGAAAGTGTGTCCTAGCAGACTTTCTCCAGCAACAAAGAAAAATAACGGATTACGACCATTTCCTTACCAGGACTTTGAAGAGGAAAGGGGGAGTTGGCCGGGGGCTTGCTGCCGCCCTCCCTCCCTGGTCCCCCGCGCGGGCGCGGCTGGGTTCAGCACCTCGGAAAGCGCCCCCTCTCTGCGCGCGGGGGTTACGCATGCTCCTTGCCGCCCTCCGCCTCGGCAGCGCGGGTGGGAACAGAATTCTGGAGAGCCCTGCAGGCAACCCACTCGGAGTTGACAACAGCCGAGAGACCGAGACACTCGCGAACCGCCAGGCACCAGAACGAGGTGGACGAAATTTATGGACTCTTTCTCTCAAAGGACGGAAACCTTGTCCAAGCAGCAAGAGGGGAAGCGACCAAGGGATTTGAAGGAAGACCTCGGGTTCCTGAATATCTGGGTGAGTTATGCGCCAGTGCCCAAGTGACGGCGGGAAACAGAGGGGGGAGGGGAGTTTGAGTTGTACATTAGGAACCGAGCGATTCTGAACTTGGCCCGAGAACCCTTGGACGCCGGCCGCAAGGCTGAGAAGCTGCACCCCTCAACTCCGCTCCGAAGCAGGCGCTGCGCTCTACTCCTGCGCGCGAAGCGGAGCTCTACAAGCTGGGGCCGCCCTGTCTTCCGCAGCCTCTTTGAAAGCTCCAGCGCACGCCCTGAGCGCTCGAACCCTGTTGCTTTCCGTCTTGACCCCTGGAAACACCTGCGCCTTCAGGTGGCTGCTGCTGCAACGGTAGCTACCATGCATAAGGGCAGTGGAGCGGACAAGCTGGCAGAACTCTTCCATCTGATCCCGGACCTCCTGGAGGTGGCCAACACGAGTGGCAACGCGTCGCTGCAGCTTCAAGACTTACTGTGGGAGATGGGGCTGGAGTTGCCAGACGGAGCGGCGCCAGGGCACCCCCCAGGCAGCGGCAAGGCAGAGAGCACAGACGCAGAGGCCTGTGTGCGGATTCTCATCAGCGTAGTGTACTGGGTCGTTTGCGCTCTGGGGTTGGCCGGCAACCTGCTGGTGCTCTACCTGATGAAGAGCAAGCAGGGTTGGCGGAAATCCTCCATCAACCTCTTTGTCACCAACCTGGCGCTGACGGACTTTCAGTTCGTCCTCACCCTGCCCTTCTGGGCGGTGGAGAACGCGCTTGACTTCAAATGGCCTTTCGGCAAAGCCATGTGTAAGATCGTGTCCATTGTGACTTCCATGAACATGTACGCCAGCGTCTTCTTCCTCACTGCCATGAGTGTGGCGCGCTACCACTCGGTGGCCTCCGCTCTTAAGAGCCATTGGACCCGTGGACATGGCCGAGGGGAGTGCTGCAGCCAGAGGCTGAGGGACAGCTGTTGTTTCTCCGCCAAGGCACTGTGCGTGTTGATCTGGGCTTCAGCCACGCTGGCCTCGCTGCCCAATGCCATATTCTCCACCACTGTCAAGGTGATGGGCGAAGAGCTGTGCCTGGTGCGCTTCCCGGACAAGTTGCTGGACCGGGACAGGCAGTTCTGGCTGGGCCTCTACCACTTGCAGAAGGTGCTGCTAGGCTTCGTGCTGCCGCTGGGCGTTATCAGCCTGTGCTACCTGCTGTTGGTGCGCTTCATCTCCGACCGCCGCGTGGTGGGGACCCAAGGAGGGGCCGCAGCAGCCGGCGGAGGCCTGGCTGCAGCCAGTGCCCGAAGACGGTCCAAAGTCACCAAATCAGTGACCATTGTGGTCCTGTCCTTCTTCCTGTGTTGGCTGCCCAACCAGGCGCTCACCACCTGGAGCATCCTCATCAAGTTCAACGCAGTGCCCTTCAGCCAGGAGTATTTCCTGTGCCAGGTGTACGGGTTCCCCATGAGCGTGTGCCTGGCGCACTCCAACAGCTGCCTCAACCCCATCCTTTATTGCCTAGTGCGCCGAGAGTTCCGCAAGGCGCTCAAGAACCTGCTGTGGCGCATCGCGTCTCCCTCGCTCACCAGCATGCGTCCCTTCACCGCCACTACCAAGCCAGAGCCCGAGGATCAGGGGCTGCAGGCCCTGGCGCCGCTCCACGCAGCGGCAGAGCCAGACCTGCTCTACTACCCCCCCGGAGTTGTGGTCGACAGTGGGGGGCGCTACGACCTGCTGCCCAGCAGCTCTGCCTGCTAAGGGGGGCCGAGGCCGAGCGCGCTGTCAGGACAGGGTGGCCTTTTCCTGGGGGAGGGAAAGGGAAGGTGAACAGACTAGGGAAGGCTGTCCTCCCCACCCCAATCAAGAACTAGGAGGAAGGAGGATGGGGAGAGGCGTGGAGAAGCAGCCTGTGAACAGGCAGGAGGACCTCTCCGGAGAGGGCGTGCTGCCAAACCTGGTGAAGAGAGGAAGCTAGCAAAGCCGCGAAGACCGGCCCCACTAGTCTCCGCTCCTCACCCCATCCTCTCCTTCCACTGTCTACAGTGGGCAGTGTGGGGACACCCAGAAACGGAGAGAGGCATCAGGAATTAGATCAGGACGCGAAGGAGTGAGCGCAGCCAAGCGAGGCACAACTGAGCACTTGTATTCCAACCACTTTTAAAGCGCCCTTGAAAGGGCCCTAAGGGTGCATGCCGCCAGGTGAGCCTCTGGCATGGCCTTTCCTTCGCGTCTCGGCGGGTGAGCCTTCCCAGCGCCTGACTTGCCGCGCATGGATGCTTTGAGAACCTAGACTGGCGGCAAAAAACCTTTTGGGGTTGCGAGATAGATGTGACCATCTTCGTTGACCCCCTAAGAGAAACGGCGAAGGAGAGCACCTCCCATGGAGCCATTGTATCTTTGTGCAAGCTGAAACAGGCAGAGCCCTCTGACCAAGACTCAGCATGGCCTCTGAGCTCAGACGTCACCAAAGGCAAAAGACCTGTCACGGTGTGGGTGAACGATTTTCTGGGGAGCGGTGTTGCTGAGGGAGGGAGTGGGTGCAGTGTGATCCGAGGCGGCGAATAGAGAAACCGCTTTGGGCTACTGACCCTAAAGGGGAAAGGGGGCTTCCGTGCTCTCTGGGTAACGGAGCTGGAAGCTGAGCGCTCCAAACTCTCGGGATTGCAGTCTGGGGGCCCAGGCACACTCTGCCTTGCGGTCTGCCTGCTGCAGATGAGCTGGGCCGGAGCATCTGGGAAGGCTCCACTTGGAATAGGGGCCCTATTGCAGCCCCTCCCCCTCTGGGAATGGAAATGTCCCTTTCATTGAGGTTCTGGACCAAAAAGTAGAAGAATGGCTCCGTGAAGGGTTTTTTTTTGGGGGGGGGAGGGTAGACTTACATAGAAAGGCAAGAAATGCTACCGAAATGTGTGCAAGGGCTCCTGGAAACCAAATCCTAGAAGCTGGGTCTGATTTTTCAAGAGGAGGGGTGGAGTGGGAAAGAGAATAGAAGACTCAAGAAAACTCTATCCTAAAGGGAAGAGAGGACCCGAGAAGGTGTCAGCAGAATTTGGGCTGTGGCATTCTTCATTGCTCATACTACTGACAAGAGAAAGTAGGAATTAAGAATTCCCCTGGGACACGACCTTCATGAGTTCATTTATTTCCTAAAGAGTGCTTCGCACATGGAACACGCATGATGAATTCTTCCCTCGTCTTCAGTCTATGCGCAGTAACTGATGAGCAACTCCTGCATCTCGTGACATGACGTACTTCTCTGTCTGGTTGCAGCAGTTCCAAACAGCCTTTCCTGAGGCTGTTGTGAGAACTCGGATCAAACACCCTGCTACCGTGCCTCTGCCAGCTGTGTCAGAGCTGCTACTGTTCTCTCTGGCCAGCTGGTTTGGGGTCAAGAAACTAGTAATGTAGGCACCTGCTGGCATGGTTATTTTAGCACAATAAATAATCATTAGAAAAACATCGGTTTTAAGTAGCCTCTTGAACAATAGAATTGTTTAGTAGTTTTGTTGAAAATGTCCTCCAGTGTCTGAGATTTAAGGCTTAAATTGCGAGAGCCTCCACGTCCGCATCTCTTGTCCTGCTTTCTATAACACAGGACAGGGCAGGTACCAACACTCATTATCTGTTCACAAAAGCAAAACGGCCTGATCTCAATCCTGAGCAGTCTTGGGAAGTTAGGTCTTTTAGAAGATAGAATAGTGTGTTTATCTTTAAATAGTCAAATTCATCTTTCTTTGCTCTTTGGGGAAGAAACTTATTGAATACAAAATAAATTAAAAAGTAAACACTGGAAGGAGCTGAGAGTGGCATGGCAGCATATCCACATATAACACTGATATTAGACTCTTACAGAGAGATTCTTATTTTTAAAAAACTGGCCACTTAAACTTTGACAATAAAATAATGTGTGGGTGGCTCAGAATTCTTAGGGATGTGTGTGCTTTTGCTATCAGAAGCACTAGAAAGAGAGATAGATCTGGAGGCAAGGTTTTGTGAAAAAAATCTCCATGGAAAGGGTTGTCCAAATCCAAACTGAGGGCTTCTCAGAACATGACAGGAGAGATCAAAGACCATGACTTCTTTCTACTCAAGGACAAAAATATCAAGGAAATGGTCAAACCAGTTGACATCAGCAGTCATACTCTTTCAGTGTACCAATGGCCTATTCTGGGAGCTGAGGTCACATACAGGAACCAGACACATTTCTGATTTCTATGTATAAAAGCACAGACAGCCATGGACACAACACTATAAGACAGGGAACAGTGAGTGGAATGTCATAGAAAGACTAAAAGAAAGTCCTGGGGAAAGACAGACTGATTCTGCTGGGGGATCAGAAACTTCCTGGTCAAAATACTATTTGAGAGGAGCCTAGAATTATGGGCACAGTTTAGGCAGAATGGAGGGTAGGGTTGAGGAGGGAGAGAGTATATTTGAAGAGGAGGAAAGGTGGTGAGTAAAGACTTTGACATTGGAATGCTTGGTGGGGGCAACACGAAGCAGAGCAGTGTGACTCCCTTTGGCCTGGCGTTTCCCAGAACTTCTATCAAAAATATATGTGTCCCTGCATTTGTTTGTCTGGAAACAAGACATATTTTTGCCAGAAAGAACATCTAATTAGCATACTGAGAAAAGAAATACTTGGGTTCCCAAAGGTTTACAGCTTTTTAAATTGGATTCTATCCAGTCATCCAAATCTCCATGGAGTCTAGTTCAATAAGTATTTGGAGATTTGAGAGTGTGTGTTCGTGCACATGTGTGTGAGAGCGTGCCTGCGATAGCTCCCTTCCTCAGTCCAGTAGACTATCCAATGCTCCATCTAAAAATACCTTCACTTGGAATAAAGACCATTCCCTGTAGTTGGTCAAGGATAACTATGCTTGACTTCTTGGGGGAGGGCTCTGGGCTATGTGTCACCATCCCAGCTTGCCCATCCATTCATTTCCAAATCTTCACACACCAGAACTATCCTTGGAGAAACTGTCAGGAAATAAATGCTGAACCTTACAGATGATTCCATTTCTAAACTTTGCAGAGGCCAGGTACGGGTAGGAAAAGCAAGAGAGGTGGCTCGGTGCTGTTTCCTTGGTAATGCTGAGGGCTGTGTGACATGGGGTCCTCTGAGCGTTTGCCCCTACTATGGGGTTGGGAGCAAGTGTTTCCACTGATCACTCCTGTCAGTCAGCCATGAACTGTCTGTCCCAGGATGGATGAATGGGGCATGGGGAGACTGGGGGAGGCAGGGTAGTTTTATATATGCTTCATGAAAAGAATGAGATGATTTCATTTGGGAGTGATTATGCTAGTAGAATAGGGGGACTTGGCTGGGGCCAGAAAATGAGAAGTCCCTGTGCAGAGAGAGGAGGGGAGCAAGGCTTGCAGGCTGACATGGGAAACAGTAGTACACTCAAGCCTGAGAAGACAGCCTAGCCAGGCTCCTGGAGCTCTGGAGAGAATGGGAAAAACTGCAGGGGCCTGGAGTAGCTAGGGTAGGATGAGGAAGGTTCGAGTCCTGCAGCTGACCAGGGGGAATGGTGGGCAGGAAGCAATAGCCACTTCATCTTAAGCCCCCTGCCCTCCACCCTGTCCTCTGGGAGCTCCAAATGCCTGGGCCCCACACCCAGAGCACTCCCCCAGTCACAAGTACGATAAGCAGGGAGCAGCAGGGAGCAGCAGGGAGCAAGCTCTTTAAGCAAACAGGAGGCAATCAACAGGGAGAATCGCAGCAGCCAAGTGGAAGCTGGGGCAGGGGAAGAGTGAGTGTGAGATGTCAGGGGTCAGCCTTTTGAGATCCTGGGAGAGATCAGAAAGGGAGAAAGGCTGCAGCCCAGAGCAGTCTTGGGTGGAGCTGCCCTTAGAGCTGGGCAGCCAGGGCCCCTGCCTGGGTTTCACTGTTAGAGGACCCTGCCCTAACTTTGTACCTTCTCTCACCTTCTAGCTCAGCAGTTCTCAATCTGTGGGTCACGACCCCTTTGGACTGTATTAAAGGGTTGTGGCATTAGGAAGGTTGAGAACCACTGTTCGAGATTGTGCTCCAGGACCTGAGATTTCAAATTCCCCATCCAAATGCCAAGTCTATTTACAAGGGCCTTGCATGTCTTTTCCTGAGTCCACACTCCAGAGAACAGACCAGCCACTGCCTCTGTGCCCTCTTAGGAGTGAGAGCTGGCTATTGGGGGCTGCTTATAGGGGTTGAGAGCCTATGGATGTGCTGGCACCAGAGTGCACACAAGACTTCTCCAGTGGTGGACAGAGAAGAGTGGGAGGGGCAGGAAAGAGCCATGGGCTGTGGGCATGACCTTCAACCCTACTCCTACCTGGGCCCCTGCAAATGTTAGGAGAGGCCTGCACCCGGTACACACCTAACAGTCGCGGGAAAGCTGACCTAAATCTGCCAAGGAACACGGCCTGCTTTCCCTTCTCAGGAGCGCTACACCAAATGAGCTAACCCAGCAGCTAACCCTGGCATGGCCAGACCCCACTTGTTCTACTGTGCACCAGGCAAACAAAAGCATCACCTTAAATCCCAAAGATCCCACCTTTCAAAAGCAACTCATATCCGTTCTGCAGATTCCTTTCCTGCACCAAAGGTTTTGGTGCATTAGAAGTTCACCCGAGGCAATGACTAGACTTCCGGACTCTGGATGAAGTAGGAGAGGGAGCTACACAATTCCTTTAACTTCCAAAAACACGTGGGCCAGTCTCTATTCCGCGCTGATCAGGCACACCTGGCTTTGTATAGGCAAACGCTTAAGCCTGGGGCAAGTTTAGGGGCGGGGAGCAGGATGATGAGCCTCAACAGTAGTGATAATAGCTAGCTCCCACTAGGTGCCAGCCACCAGGATAAGTGCTGTTTGTGCACAAAACAGCAGAACTGTACACTCTGGGTTCAAAGTCTGGCTCTGTCTCTTGCAAGTTTTATGATTACAGATGAGTTACACAATGCCTTTCTGCCTCAGTTTCCTCATCTACAAAATGCAGATCAATAAAGCACCCACTCCCAAGATTGCTGTGTTAGCACAGGTAAGCCATGTAGAATAGTGATAAGCACTCCCCAGTATTCTGTGTTATTAGTCATCACATCTCTCTGAGTTAGGAATTTTTATCCCAAATGTATAGATTAGCAAGTGCAGCTTAGGGGGGATTCAATAGTTTGCAGCTGAACAGCAAGTCAGGATGCAAAACCAGTTGAACCCAAAGCTCATGACTTTTATTAAACCATGCTGTCTCTTGAGGCTGCTGAAAACCTCACTACGGAAAAGCAGTTGAAATGTGTGGTTAGAGAATAACTGCTTAGCTTAGGGAAGAGCAGCTCATAGGAGAAATGACAGGGAATCAGAGAGAAGTATTCTTACTGTGTTAATGACATGACTGTTTTCAAGTGGTGGATCCTCCAGCATGAAATATTCAAAAAGACTTATCAGGGGTATCATAAATTAAGAGGAATTAAAGATGAGTAAATTAAATATGAATAAATTAATATAAAGCATTAGCAATATTTTGAGTATTTGTGAATTTAGTACACTATATAACTTCCCAGCTATATAGGGACCCCTAAAGAACAAAACCATGTTATAGAACGCAAGTACACATCAAATGTCAGATGAGTCTGCTTCTCAGTCTCGCCCAGGCCTGAGGTGTCCTGTGGGAAACAGAGCTGGCCTCTCCTAGCCCAGCACCGAGAAGGCATGTGTTGGTGCTACCACCCACACTTACCCTTTGCCACCAGTGTGTGGAGGCATATCCCAGACCAATATGCCTGTAATATGGGTACTGTCATGCAGAGGACTGGCTAGACAGATGCCATAGCTGAAGTCACAACATGGGGAATCCAATGGGCGACCCAAAAGATGCAGAGCTGCGGGTGGCACCTATAGCTCAAGTGGCTAAGGTGCCAGGCATATACACCAGAGCTGGCAGGTTTGAATCTGGCCCGGGCCTGCCAAACAATGACAACTACAACCAAAAAATAGCCGGGCATTGTGACGGGTGCCTGTAATCCCAGCTACTCGGGAGGCTGAGACTAAAGAATCACTTAACCCAGGAGTCTGAGGTTGCTGTGAGCTGTGATGCCATGGCACTCTACCCAGAGCGATAGCTTAAGACTATATCTCAAAAAAAAAAAAAAAAAAAAGATTCAGAGCTGCAGAAAAGACTGACTTGCTGTCACGTGCCCCACTGTGTCTGAAGTTATGATCAATGTCTCTTTATTGACCTAATCCACATATCTAACAAAGAGAGCCACGAAGCAACAGCCAATCAGTGCCACCGAGGAGGCTGTGACGACCACAACGATGACGCTCCCAGCCATGTTGACCAGAAAGCCCAGGCCGCCTCCAACCAGGATCTGTGCCAGCTGCACCATGCAGGTGAGGGCGGCACAATCCACGCCCTTCCCTCTCCCGCTGTCATCTGCAGCACCTCCAGGGATGCGCTGCCTCTGCAAGGAAAACACAGGAACAGTGTTTGAGCTATAAGGAATTTTCATTAGGGCAGAGGTCTGCAAACTATTTCTGTAAAGAGCCAGACAGTAAATGCCTTTGGCTTTGTGAGTCACCCAGTCTTGGTTGTAACCATCCATCTCTGCTATTGTGCAAAAGCAGCCACAATATGGAAATGAACTAATGTTTCAATGTAATTTCATGGACATTGGTATTTGATTTCATGTTATTTTCACTTGTCACAAAATATTATTCTTCTTTTAAACTTTTTTCAACCATTTAAAAATTTAAAAGGAATTCTTAGTTCATGGACTCTACAAAACAACATGGCAGCCCCCATTTGGTCAGCAGGCCCTGGTTTGCCAACCCTTGACTTGTGCCATGGTGAGGACCCACTCGCCTGTCGTCTCTACCTATGACAAAGTCTTAAATCCCACCATTAACACATATGAGGGCAAAGTGGTTAATAAATACAAAATTACCTCTTCCTATGAAGCCATTAAATAAATAGTAGTGGCAACTCAATAAATATCCCATTCTTTTTCTTCCTTAGTGTTAAAAATTCAAATATTTTCGGAAGAATGTTGAATCATTAGTATTTAAGAGACAGAACATCAAAAAGCATTTCAACCTTTCAAAATATGTTGTGTCCTTAACTTTTCATTGAATATTATATGGTATTTTTCTTATACCTACAGGGGTGTACCAAGGTTTTGGAGGGATGGAAATGGTCTGTTCTGGGTGAAAACAGTAAGGAAAAGTGTATTTTCTGTATAAATATTAAAAACGATAATAAACACAACCCCCCAAATATGGATATGTGGTTATTATGTTAATATTTGGTTAATATTTCATCTGAACTGATTGATACTTTGTGATTTATTGGGTATCTCATATGTGATGGACCTGTATACAGTTGCTTTGCAAATTCCTTTATTTCAGCCTCAGCATCACCCCAGATGCACATATCATCATTATCCCCATGACAATAATAATACGATGTACCATATTCTGAGTCTTTATTAGGCACTAGGTAGGCACTATGCTAAGCATATTACATATATTATCTTATTTAATTTTCTGACAACACTGTAAGGCAGGTTACATCATTATTCCTGTTGGCCTCATGAGGAAACTAAGGCTCTGAGAGTTTAAATGATGGGCTTTTTTTTAATTATTAAAGTTTTTTTAAAGAAAGCTTTGTGCAGAAAAAGTCATTTATCCTTTGAGTGAGAAAGGGAAAAAAATAATACTTGTTTGATCATCATTAAAAAATACCGGGAAGTGAACTGATCAAAGTATTCTATAATAGACATACTCCTATCTGACAATGTTACTTTCTTTGCATTATTACTATTATTATTGCTTAATATTTCTTTGCGGCAATCACCTGATTTCTTTTCTGAATGTATTTATCTTCACTCATTCTTTATGAGGTTTTTGTCCTCAGTCCTTATGTTAAATATTGTTATTGTCATTAAATTTTGCCTTTTTAATTCTGTGAAGGCAAAAGTGGAAACCTAATATACACATGTATAAGTAAGAAAAATAAATAAAATAAATAAAACATAAAAAAAATACTGGGAAGATAAACAAAAAATGAATAAGAGTGATAGCAGGTCAGGGCTGAGGGGAGGGAGGGGAGCACAGAGGGAGCCTAGTCACAGTGTGCACTTTGGCCTCTCATTGGGGTTGTCCAACCATGTAAACATATTACTTCATCCAAAAATAAGTTCCCTCTTAATCCTACTTAATAAACAAATAAGTCACATTCCCAGTGTCACGCAGCTTCTGATTAAGAAAGGCCAGATCTGAATCCCAGTTTCTCTGCATTCAAAGCATGGGTATTTCTGCCTTACTGTCCTATCTATGGCCATACCTCCCTGAATGCGCCCCCTCTCATCTGATTTTGGAAGCCAAGAAGGGTCAGGCCTGGTTAGTACTTGAAAAAAGAGACAGTTCTTGAGCAGCAACACTGGGGATGTTTGTCAGGGGTTGTGGACAGCCACAACTTCTGTTTGAAAGATTTTAACTTAAGGTATGGCTCCGCCCTGCCCTGCTGCCAGATAAAATGATGGAAAAGTCCAGAATTCCAGCTCCAAGGACATGTGCTCGGTGTTTTTGCAATTTCATGCTGAGATGGATTAAACTCAGTTATCTCTGCAGCTTTTATGGGCTCCTCCACTTAAGGAATAGCAAGCCTATTTTCTTGGGGGAGAGAGCTGCACATTTTGAGAGGAAGAGGTGGTCATTTCCAAGTAGAAATACCCAGATTCAGTGTTCTTATAAGAACTGTTTAGGCTCTTCTCTGCAGTCCAGTTCTAAGATGTAGATAGAACAAGACCCTCCCCGCACCCCAGAGCAGCACCATGGAGAGGGCCACCTGGGGCTCTGGCTTCCCCCTGACCCCCGGCACACAGGGTCTGATGCCCTAAAGACTGGATTCCCAAGGATGATATTGCCTGAGAATTTCTACACTTAACCAATAACTCTCAGAAATTTCACTGTGCATTCTGCAATGGTTGGGGGCTGTGGGCCCCTCACTGGGGTATACGGAACTGCAGGTGCACCAGAAGACCTGTGGGCAATTATAGAAGACCCTGGTCCCCTTTTCATTATCTCTGTGGTTGTCGGCTGGTTTCTCAGCATCACCAAGCCCCCTTTTCCTAATCGCATAAAGAAAATTAACTCTCTTTCCCCTCTAGCTCCCGAGGTGCACAGGGGTTGGGAGTAAGGCAGATGAGAGGAGTAGGCTGGGTCAGCAGGCATGCCTGCTCCAGACTGTGATGGATTGTGACTGCTTGGGCATTTTGGCGCTGCTGTTTTGAGAACCTTATTTTGCAGCTCTGCTGAGTGCATTTCCACCAAATTCCCCCAGCCTTCAAGTGAGTCTGCATGTTACCCAGGGCAGAGTTTCAAACAACAAACACACCTCCTCCTCCTCCTCGCGGTGGTACTCAGCAATGAGGTTAAAGGGCACGGTGTACAGGGTGCTGGACATGACACCAAACAGGGCACACAGCACCAGGGTGGAGTAGACATTCGGGAAGAGCCCAATAAATCCTGTCCCCAGGCCAAACAGCAAATATCCCAGGAAGTAAAGACCCTTTAATCCAATGTAGGATCCCAGAGCTTTCTGAAAGTCTGTGGGGAGAAGAGAGGAAGACATTATAGCCGGCAGTGCCTTACCACGTTTAATAATTTCAGACAATCCTTTATTTGGAAGAGCTACTTTTTTAGGAGACTTTTCTTTGATGCTGAGTCAGGAACAAAAGAACCTTCTTATCTGTGTATTGAAAACAGCTGGCTTTTGAAATTCTTTGCATAAAGGACAGCTTGAAATTCCCTTGCTAGGCTGATTTGCTTTTCTACAAAGAAGGGCCTGGCACTGTTTAACAGACAGCTGGGTGGCAAAAAAGACACAAAAGAGGTGGCAGAGAAGCCTACCTTGGCTATGGGACCCTGGAGCTACAAGGCAGGAGAAAATAGGAGTTATTCTAACTCAGAGGGGACATGGCCCAACAGTACAAAAATAATTACACAGACATAGGTCCTACCACCTAAAGTCAGGTCAGGGAAAAAAGAAAACAAGCAGATTTTGCAGAATGATCCAAATCATCCATGGCTTCAGCCCCCATCTAAATGCAATGCACACTTCTGAGAAGGACATAAAGGATGTGCAATTAGACAACAATTTACCTTGTCTTGCCAACCCTTCCCAGGCGTTAAGGGGCCCCCACAGCACCCAGCCCCTCCCCATCGCTGGTTCCCTCCCTCTTATGAACAAGTTCCTTAACTTCTCCACATCTCAGCTTCCTTCTCTGAAAGCTGGGATAACAACATCCTTCTATGGGGTTGTTGTCAAGACTAAATGAGGCAAAATGCCTGTGAAATCACCCAGTCCAATGCCTAGCACAGAGGAGACATTCAAGTAATGTGGCTGTTGCTGTTTCAACAAATACAAGCTGGCTGGTTCTTCCCCTCCCAGCAGGTAAACTTGGCTTGCTTAAACAACGATAGGGGTAGAGTTAATTTTTTTAAATGAAAAATTCTGCTTTAAAACATTTTATAATGTTTTTCACAATGGGAAGGAAAATCCCTTAAAACCTTTTATCTTCCTTTTTCAATCTTTTTTTTTTTTTCCAATCCCGAACCTCTTTCTGTAGCTCATGGTGGCTCCCATCCTGGGAACAGGAGGACAGACACCAGAGGTGAAATGTTTGGACTGCTACACCTGCCCAGGTGAGGGACCCTGACAGGGAATTGCAGACCACTAGGAAGTGGGACAGGCCCACACCTGTGGATGTCTCCAAGTTTCCAAACAATCACGCATGTTCCCTGACCTGTGGATCTGGGGCAAGGGTGGCCGGGAGCAGCCCTCTAGCTTGAAGGCACACTTCGGTGAGAGAGACGCCCAATAAATCGTTTGTTTTTAATCCATACATTCCTTATCTCTCCCCTACCGTGTTCTACTGGAACACAAAATCACAAAGGGGGGGGGGAATAAATGATGGATCCTTGAAATACACCTATCCAAGAATGAAACTTCCCTTATCTGTTCAAATAATTGTTGGACTTACACCTTGTAGACAGCAACCTAATTTGTAGTTTAAATTTAAATCAATTATGAAACTAAGCACTATCTCAGGTCATCTGATGGAAGACAAAGCTCTGGAAATGACAATAAGGCAACATTGCTTTGTATATTAAATTTATCCCATGCCTGGAATGCTGTTGCTAAGGCTCATGAAAGCAGCGTAAAGCTAGGTCAGTTTCTGTTTGCCTAATGATTATATTTATATGAAATATAATCTAAGGTATCTCAGTACTTAAAAGATACCATCAATCCTCCTTAGGAAAATGCTTTTATCAAAGTGTGTAGGACAGCTGAGAAGAAGGCCAAGAAAGGGAAATATATTTAGAAATACAGCAACATTACTACAAAGACTGACTGATAAAGAATGCTTTATTCATGAAGAGCAATCAATAAATTTCAGGGCCAAGCTTCCCTTGCCCTCTGATGGGTCTGATGCCCAATGGTAGTCATGTTGTCACACTGTTTTTCTGCAGGAGGGAAATGATAGGAGCAAGCACCATCTGTGACTAGCAATGTGTAATATGAACAATTGGCTGCATCTCAGTACTCGGTATTGCTATTCTAATTGGAATACATGTGCCTTCTGTGCAAAGGTGCTCAAAACAAGTCCCTGTGACCACCCTTCACCCCAGTAGCCAGAATGTCCTGCCAAGCTGCACATGGATAGAAACTCTGGATCTGCACCTGATGTTGTGTGACAGGAGAAGGTAATATAATGAGCTCTGAAGGAAATGATTAGAAGGAAATGATTAATTTTACCCAGAGTAGGTTAGGGTGCAGAAGAAAAACTTGAACAATTTTACTGAGGCAGCCAAATTTCACTGATCTAAAAGCATGATTAGAAGTTATCTAGGTGGGAAAGCAGAAAGCGATAGAAGAAAGTAAAGCATCAGCAAATACATAGTCTGTAGTACGTCAGGGGGTAGCTAATCGGTGTGGGAGTGAGCGAGGTCAAAGTGTGAACCAGGCCGAGCTGTGAAAACCCTTGAACTCCAAGCTCAGGACTGTGACTTTACTTTGATGACATAGAGAGCTCTTGAAGGTCCTTGAGTGGAGAGGGAAAGGGGCCTGGTATTTTATATATTTTTGTGATTCAAAATCATGATGATAGCAATCCTACAGATTTATATATTAATGTAACTTTGGAAAACTATTGAAATCATAGTTTATTTTGTATACAGAGCTTTTAACTAGAAAGTGCCTAAAAATACTATTTAATTTTTAAATGCTATGAAATTCACACAGGGAACTCATACTAGACTAACAGAACCGTACCTAGTAGTAGGGGGGTTGATTGAGGAAAAAATTATAATGGATACAAAATTAAAATATGAATGATATATAGAACAATATACTCCTCTCACAAGAATGAAAATAGTAAATTGCTCCTCCATCCCTCAAAATCACAAAGGATTCGAAGTTGGTGACTCATTGGACTATTTTAGTCCAACACTCCTTGATACTACGTACTTTAGGTGCTTGAAATCATCCTGCTGAAATTTTCTTAGCCCACACACTCTTGAGAGGAAGACAAGAGTTTGCTGAGGGAATATAAGCTTCAAGCCACCACTTGATTATCATGACTTAAAAAAAGTGCATTTTATGGTTATGTGACTTGGGGACCTATAAACTCCGTATATGTTTATGTTAGGTCCTCTTTTTCCAAGTGTGCTGAATTTTGAAGAGACCTCGAAGGAGGTTTCTGGCTATGCTGGGGCTTGGTGAAGGGTAGGGCAGGGGGCTCTTGTATAAATTCACGTTTCCCCCACAGGAAGCGCACTGCAGACACAGAGCGCATGCCTCTGGGAGTAGTACCAGGGTGTCTCCCTCACCTCTTCCTGCTTCCCCCACCTGGGCCATGCCCCCCTACTGTCTCTGAGCCTGTCCAAAACTAGAACCCTAAGTTGGGGATCAGTTCTTTCTCACAGCCCTGGGCTAGAAAAGATCATAGTAGTCAGGAGCCCAAGTTCCACTACAAGTCGGGGAAATGCATACATTTTCCAGGCCAGATTTTCACTTAATTCAATGTCTGCAGAGCTTGGAGATTTGCACACACATCAGCAAAGGAAGTGCAACAGGAGCCTGTGGGGTGCACTGGAGCTGCAGCACCTCAACTGGGCCTTGTTTAAAATCAGTGGCAGGGCGGCCCCTGTGGCTCAAAGGAGTAGGGTGCTGGCCCGATATGCCGAAGGTGGCAGGTTCAAACCCAGCCCCTGCCAAAAACTGCAAAAAATAAAATAAAATCAGTGGCAGGAAGCGTTCTTAACAGCTGGAACTTAGCTAAGTGGGGGGTGAAGCAGCATAAGACCCAGCGGAAAGATGGCACCTGAGAAGAAAAGCCAGCTGCTCTCACTCCTGGGACAGTGCTCCTGTAATATGTCACCTGCACATCTGAGCTGGGGTCATTTCACAGGAATCTTTTGTCACTTATCATATACATTAACCACTCCCTTATTTTGTGTCTGATAAGCCTGTCTGTGAAATGCCACCAGTGATCTTGCTCCAATAGAACAAGGACCCCCTGGGATTCCGATCCTCATTCACCCAACACTTGATCTTGTTTACAAGATTCCCTTCTATTTTCCAGAGAACCTTGATCAGGAACCCACGGATTCTAAGTCAAAAGAAATCACTGAGGAAAATGACTAGAATTCACTCTGGAAATGTGGCCCTTGCTACGGGAATAGTTTATTCCTGACCTCCATATATTTGTCAAGAATCTCTCGTATTATAAAGAGCAGAAAATAAATATAGAAATATCAAATCCAAGTTCTGCTATTCCAGAGCCCTTTAGAAGACTCTTAGAAGAGGGAGACTTACAAGAATAAAATGAGGAGAAGACGGAGTTGATGCACAAGCCCCAACACCCCACCTCGACACCTCTCTCATAGATGAGAAACTCGGTGGAGTTGTGTGCGCTGTAGGGATCCCCGTGGTACACAATCTGAAAGAGAGGCTTGAGCTGTGAAGGGATAAATGCAGGGTGGTAGGGACTTCTTCTTGTGCATTCTGCTTCTCTAACCCTGGGGACCAAATGTCCCAGCCTGCGAGGTCCTTCCCAGGGCACAGAGCTCATCCTATCATGACTAAGTCACCCCTTTCATCCTATCACACCTCCATTCAGGCACCTGCAGGGTGCCTACTAATGCCTACTGTGTGAAGTCTAAACAGCACAAGCTGTCCCGGACCCTTAGTACCCTTCCTTCCACCTAATACCTGGCCACACTTGATTTAGGCAACCCTGCTACCCATCTTCTGGTACAGCCGATTGATTTCTGACTCATCTCCACACACACCATTCTGCCTCCTGCTCGGAATGCTTTCTCCCCCTTCTGCATCTCTCCAACTCCTATTTATCCTTCAAAGCCCAAATCATATTATGCTTCTTTTTTTTTTTTTCTTGAACTTCTCTGATCACTATAGCTCATGGTGATTTTTTCCCATTTGTTGTTTTAAATCAAGAGCAGCAGGCCACATAGCATCCTCTAGTCATCCAGGGTGTAGCAGCATGCTTCTAGGACCTTTCTGTAAGCCAGCTTCTTGACAGTACTCTTCCCTGCACTCTAACTGTACCCCATCCCAGCAGTCAGCCTAAGAGAAGCTCGACAGGTGCTACTGGGGAGGTTAATGTGTGTTTCAGTGTGTACACAGACGGTTCATCACCTGGCCCATAAAATCTGTGAAGAAGAGCATGTTGGACAGGAAGGCGGTCCATCCCAGGAGGTGGCTGATGCAGAGGCAGCGGTAGTGCGGAGGCATGCTCACCAGCGCCCTCAGCAGTGACTTCATGGTCATTGTCCTACGAGGCTGGAATAAAACATGAAACAGTAAGTAATGTGACCTTCACCGCAGATACTCCGCAGGTCTGGCTGCCAGGGCACACAGCATGTTACGGATCTGTCAGTCAGCTGACATACAGGGTCACTGACATACAGGGTCACTTTTCCCAGGCACAGCACTAGGTTTCCATGGAGTAGGCTTATGGGAGATATTCTGTTAAGCACGTGTGGGGGCATCCCAGTTTCAAGCCCAGAATGGGGCTTTAGTACCTTAAGAACAAAGGGCCTGGGAATGAAGCTAATGTGGGGCCAAGATATAAGAGATAGCTATCTGTCATCCTGTCTTTGAGGGACAGAACTGCTGCAGGAGGACAAAGTTCACAGATCTAAGCCAGGCCTTAGGTGATTATGATTCTTAGATTTCTTCATCTAAGATCATGGTAGGGCAGATGTAAGATGGCTGTCATGAAGTCTGTCCCCTGGTGTCATCTCCACATTTATATTCTACACAGCAAAGAGATTTTGCAGATATAATTAAGTGCTAATCAGTCGACTCTGAGTTAATCAAACAGGAGATTACGTGGGTGACCCTACCCAAAGACTCAAGCCCTTGAAAAGCCGGGAACTTTCCCAGCTGGTAGCAGCAGCAGAAGTCGGAGTGATTCAAAGCACAGGGACTGCTGGCTTTGAAAGCAGAGGAGCCACCTGGAAAGGACCAAGAGTGGCCTTTAGGGGCTGAGAGCAACTCCCAGCCAATAGTCAGCAAGACAGCAGGGACCCAGGTCTTAGAGCCACAGGAACCCGATCCTGCCAACCACATAAATGAACTTGCAAACTTCCATGAGACGCAGCTCTGCTGACACCTTGATTTCAACGTCACAAGACCCTGAGCAGAGAACCCAGTAAAGCCCACCCAGACTTCTGATCTCAGAACTGCAAAATAATAAACGGATGTTGCTTAAAGCTGCTAATTTTGTGATCATTTTTAGGCAGCAGTAGAAAGTTAACACAGATAACCATCAACTCCCTGTTCCCTGCCAGGCGCCTCCTCCAGGGTTATATCGCAGGATCCTGCAAAGAGTTGATACCTGTAATGAGCCCTATGTTAAGTCAAAAATGAGAACAATGTAGAACTTCAAATATACACTTATATATGCACCTACACATGCACATACATAAACAAAAATGAGTATGTAAGCCCCATATCCTTTCGTTTAGATTTCAATTATCTTAAAATAAGAGGTTACAATTGTTTGGTTTCAGAAATATGGAAAGAAGGAGAAACTTCAAACTCCTGACACACTGTTTTGAAACACAGAGAATGAAATTTCTGTTAGCATCTTGTCATTTGATAGAAGCCTAAAGCCTTAGGAATATTAAGCAGTAGCTGCCCTAAAGATACTAAGACTATAAGCGTCAAACTTGTCGGATAATGGATCTTTCTTGTCAGATTTTTATTTATTCTGAATCTTGACATGATGAAATTCAGTCCTGGCTAGTTTGCTCATAAGACAGTCTACTGAGGTTTTTAAGAACTACAAAGGCATATTGTTTTAGAACTCTTAAGCCTTATATGGTAATTCTTTTTACTTCCGTATTGCAAAGAATTATATTTACTCATTTTAGTTTTATTGCGTAAATCGATTATTAAAACTTCATCAATCTTATATAACCCACTGACTACACACTGTACTGATTTTCTTGTACTTCATTGATTAGGGATGAAAGAAGGTTGAAGGGGCTGCAGGGAGGTGGAAGAAAATTATAGCCTTCTGGACAAGAAAGTTGGAAAGGGTCCTGAAGGGAAAGGAGGAGTTTGGGGTGGGTGTGACCTAGTTAACCAAGTATGTGCTGTTCCTGTATAAGGTGACTTCTAGTCTATGGCTAAGGACCTATAGCCCATGAATGATCCTCCTATAAAACTGAGATAAGGACACCCATCCCAGAACTAGGCACACCATAATTGCCACAAACATCATAAGACTAACAGACACCTTCACACCATCACTACTAAAATAACAGTTAAAAATCATTGATGCAGAGTAAAGGAAACTGGATTTATGTGGCAGCTAAGGTAGCTCACAAGCAATGAAACCAGGATGGCACACCTGAAGGCCGAAGGGAAACCATTGGGAGTTCTTCTGGATAAATGGAAGAGGAATAGGGCCAAAAGGACTCACTGGTATATTGCCTTTGTGTGATGGCTCCTCTCCCCTCCCAAGGGGGATCCTTTTCCAGTGTCCTGGAAAAGTCTATGCAGATTGCTTTAAATAAAAATTACCTTTCTTTCTTTGCTGTATTATAGTCCCAGCTGCCTCATTTTCCACTCCCCCAATTCCTTACTCTCCCTTTGGCTCATCTGAACTCGCTGGTTCTGCTGTGTGAACAGAGTCCAGTCCACTGAACAGCTCAGAGGCAAATTCTCACTGCTAACGTTGATCAATATTAAAAACTAGACATTCCCTTCATGGTAGGAAAAGGAATTATTTTCTGCGTAGAATATGGGACCTGTCAAAATCAGTGATGATTATAACAGAAATTTGGTGTAGAATTACTACTTTTTCTTCTCCCACAGGAAGAAGCAGCTAAAGATAGAGACCAGGGAACAGCAGTCTGGTTTTTATGCCTCACACTAATTATATTCACTGTCCTTCCCTTCTTTCCAAAAGTGCACAATTAAGAAAGTGAATCTGGCCAGTAAGTATTCAGCCTCATTCTAAATGTTAATCTGTGTTTCTGACTTATACATAATTTTCAGCCTGCCCTCATTGTTAACCTAATTTCTCCTTTCTCCCCAAAATAAATACGAGCTTTCAAAAATGTTCCCAGGATTTCTGTAAAAGCCAAGAATGCAAATATTCAAAGGCCCTTTGGGTATTTTAAATCAGAATGAAAATTCAGCTGATATCTCATTCCTGACTCATCAATTCCCTTGGTAAATCCCTTTCACTGGTTCTGAGCCCCTGGGATTTGTTCTACTGCATTTGCCCAGCACCACCATCAGCTGGAGAAGGGTTTGTAAGAGGAAAAGGCAGAGTTATGGCTTGGGCAGTCCGGGGGGAGACAACTTCACAAAAGTACTCCCAAAAGGAGACAATTTCAATGCTGGAGAAAGCAACTGATAGCATGGAGGAATTGGAGACAGGTTTTATGGGATCCAGTTTGAACCCTGAAATAATTCAGGCCTCTTGCTATCAAAAAGAAAATTCTCAGTTCTCAAATTGCACAGCCATCCTCATTTTAGAAAACAATGACTTTC